TGAACAGTTGCAGGACTTTCTTTCTGGCAATGGGTGGCAAAAGCAGGATTATGAGTTCAAAGGAATTCTCAAACTGCTCACTGTAAGAAAAGCCTAGGTTACGGAAGACATTGCTCTAAACAGAAATAAATAATCAACATAACTTGAGAAAACAAGGAAGAAATTCTTAATGACCTAGAAGCAATGGAGAACAGAAAGAAATAAGAAAGTAGAACAAGGATAAATGTAAAGGAATTCAAATTTAAAAACTGAAACTCATAATTATTTTTAAAAAACAAATATAACTGAAAAAAGCACATAGCTAAATTGACTTTGCAAAAGAGAAAATAATTCTCTGGCAGAGGGAATGGCATTCATAAGATATTAATTTACCCTGTGCTTATATGTAATGTTAGCTGCTGAGACCTGTCACCTGAAATATGCAGTTACAGCTAATGGATGGAACAATGAGAGCAAGGTTGAACATATCTGTATATGAGAGCACCTTTTTAGAAATTCCATATTAATTGGTTCTATTAACCTCCACATTGTATACGGAAATCTGGCCTGATTTCATTTATATGGCATGGATCAATACATGCTGGGAAAAACAAAATCCCATAACCATCTAGAATCATACTATGTTTCATAATGGTGACTCTACAACTGTTTGCCTTCACTGTTTCCCCTAAAGTGTACACAGTAAACTATTCCACCTATTATGGTATGAAGGCAAAAACCATGCTGCACACACAAATCCTATTTCTATTACTGAAATGGATACATGACTCAGATTTGTAATTTTATAACTGAGTGATGATTGAGTTCTTTACCCTAAGAATTTAGTTGGTTTAATCATGAGGAGAACAAGCTCATTTCCGGGGAACAATGGAGTGAGATCAATGCCACATGATCCAACATAAGAACTTTTGGTTCAGCCGGGCGGTGGTGGCGCACGCCTTTAATCCCAGCATTTGGGAGGCAGAGGCAGGCGGATTTCTGTGAGTTCAAGACCAGCCTGGTCTACAAGAGCTAGTTCCAGGACAGGCTCCAAAAAAAGAACTTTTGGTTCAGAAACATTTTGTTACAGCTGGAGATACTGATGTTCAAGAATAATATGCCTTCATCTGCTTAAATCATTTCACAAACTTAAAAGTTGAATAAACAAAATCTCTGTAATAACACCAGGCATCTGGGGTAGTTAATTTTAAAATGAGGAGCCAGGCTGGAACAGATTTTGCATTCCACATAAGTTATCATCTTGAAGTCTGTTTTGGAGTCAAGCCCAGGGTTATACTGTGAACAATTTAAAATGGGATGGGAGAACCCAGTCGGTAGTGGTATAAACCTTTAATCCCAGCATTCATGAGGCAGAGGCAGGTGATCTCTGTGACTTCACGACCATCCTAGGCTGCAAGAGCAAGTTTCAGGACAGGACACAAAGCTACAGAGAAATCCTGTCTTGAAAAATGAAACAAAACAAAAAACTAACACATGAAAAATGGGACATGAGAAGGCATGTCTAACCACTTATTCAGATGGAGATTTACAAAGCATTACTACCTTTTTTTTTAAGATTTATTTATTTATTATGTATACAACATTCCTTCCATGTATGCTTGCATGACAGAAGAGGGCACCAGACCTCATTACAGATGGTTGTGAGCCACTATGTGGTTGCTGGGAATTGAACTCAGGACCTCTGGAAGAGCAGTCAGTTCTCTTAAACACTGAGGCATCTATCCAGCCCACCTTCTTTTTTTTTTTTAGGTTTTTCGAGACAGGGTTTTTCTGTGGCTTTGGAGCCTGTCCTGGAACTAGCTCTGTAGACCAGGCTAGTCTCGACCTCACAGAGATCTGCTTGCCTCTGCCTCCCGAGTGCTGGGATTAAAGGCGAAAACTATCTTTTTGATAATTCATGATGATCAGAAATTCAAAAAGAACCAAGTCTAAGTTAGTTTCTGGTGCTATCGATTTTTTATTTCTTCTGGGTCACCAAGCCTGAGTAAAAGATGAACTTATTATACCAGCCTTTCCCACATGACTGTTATTAATGACATGTTCATGAGGCTGAATAGAAGATCAGCACCTAGAACACTGAAGACTCATCCACAGGGCCTAACATTGAGATTTACTACCCACAACTGTCTGTACCTCCAGTTGCAGGGGATTAGACACCATCTTCTGGTCACCACTGGTACCTGGGATACCTTTCATATATTCACTGGTCAAACTTTTATATCTAAATTCAATTTCATTCTTTTCTAAAATATGAGACAAACAAAAAATACCTACTAAAATAAAGAGTCAAAGAGATACATGTCCTTTCAGCATTTACATATCTGGTGCCCTAGGAGACCAGAATAAGACACCAGATATTTAATGTCTGCAATGACAGGGAGTTCTGATCAATCAGGTGTGGTGCTATGACTTGAACTTGGGTACCAAAGAGGATCAGTACTCCTGAGACAACTCTCCTGTTCCCACATGTGTCATTACAAAGCTGAAGGTGAAGATGTCCCACTGTTCCTTCTGTCTCATTGCACTTGAAGGATCTAAATGTCCTCTAGACGGTTGTCAAATGATTTCATGGACTGAATGTTAATGGAATTTCAATACTGTTTATGGTTATTGTTATCACAGTTCTTTTTTATGTAAGTGAAGATTAAAAAAAAAAGGTTGGTTGAAATCAGTCTGAGTCCAGCCTGATTTTATTAGCAAAAAAGTTCCATAATTTGAGATAGGCTTTTTTTTTTTTGGAATTTTTGAGACAGAATACCTCCACATAGCATGGAAGCCAGGAATTTATTATGGGGAACTAGCTGGCCTCACTAAGATCAGTTGACCCACACTTCTGTGTGCTGTAATTATAGCCATATACCTATAAGTCCAGTTGAAATATGTGTTTTAAGGACTTCTCATTGAATCATAGAAAGAAATAATAAAATAATATACAAAAAGGAGCATCATTGTTCTGATGAATAGCAATGTTTCTTGAAGTTCTATAATTTAAATGACCAAATCATTTCACATGCTCTCAATAATGGGTTATTTTTATTGTGTTGTTAATTCCATCCATTTAAAAATGTTTGAAGTGTGACTGTGTGAATACACCTGTGTCGTGATGTGTATGTAGCACTGACAGGAAAACTAACAGGAGTCTATGATCTACTTCTGCTGTGTGAGTTCTAATGATTAATCCTATGGAGACATTTGACTACAAAAGACCTAAATGGCACTTCTTTGGGTTTAAATATTATTCATGAATGTACTCTTAGAGAAGTGTCTATGTGTCACTGCTGAAGTGAAAAAATGTAAGAAAATTTGTAGAAGTATTGTATATAACCCAGAGTATTGTATATAATACCAGGTCATCAGACTTGGCAGCAATGAGCTATAACTTTACTAAATGAGACAATTTTCTGGTGTATAGTTTTGGTCCTGAGGAAGTGTTATAAATAAATGTCTACTCTTCAAAATGAACAAATTTTTCTGTTGTAATATTTTTTTCACATTGAATTTGAGCACCAGTGAAATGGCTCAGTGGGAAAGCACTGTTGTGAGCAAGACTAAAAACCTTACCTCAATTCCTATAGAACATCAAGCTATGGAATTTCATATACAGATGTTTGCTGATTTTCATAAATTATTATATCCATATCAGATAAATGGAAATACTTCGTTGAATACACACATGAGGTATTTAAATTTCTCATAATTTTTATCAGTTATTTTAACTGATAAAACATTGGTGTATTATAACTGATAACATTGTTAAATTCTCTTGAAATCACAGTACATTGGGTGTACATCATCTATCCTTGGATTTGTACTCAAGAGTAAGACAAATGAGCATCATGAGTTCAAATGTATCAGTGAATCATTACTGACATAATAAGACAAATATCAAACAACAAAATTTCAATAAAATTTGTGAAAAGATGAAAATCAAAACCGGAAACACAATCCACCACCATTATGTGAAAAGTGTGATCGAATGTGGCCTGATATTTCAATAACCAATGGGCAAATTATATGATAGGGGCTCCATTATATACATTACAGAAGAAGAATACCTATCACATTGTACAGGCACAACAGAATATGAACAAAAGTCATAGAAGGAATATAAGGTCTACAAAATAAACTTCACTAAATGAATTTGCCACACATACAGCAAACTCTAGTGACTACCTCAAATGTTTAAAAATAGAAACCACAATGCAATTATCTCCTCCATCAGTCTTGACAAAACATGGTTTATAGTTTACTTCCTCCAAGGCTATGATGAAAATAATTTATTTTGAACCTGAAGAAATCTGTGATGTTTAAACGCATTAACATTTTTTTCATGAATAGGAATTTCTTCTTTATGAGCTTGTTTCAATTTTAGTCTTAAAATTGATCTAAATAGAATTTAAAACACTAGAGTAATGGTTACTTGACTAACTGAATTTATTCACAGAGTTTCAATGCAGTATGATATTTTTATGGTTTTGAAGCCTACATTCATTAAATTCATACTTTCTCTCCTGAATGGTTGATTGTGACAAAGGATTTACCACATCGATTTCAATCATGGTTGTTCTCACATACAGGAGATTATGCATTTAATGATGAATAAAATATAAAAAGGCTTTATCACACTGATTACATCCATAATGATTCTTACTCTTTTTTTTTAAAGATTTATTTATTTATTATGTATACAACATTCTGCCTCGATGTATGCCCGCACACCAGAGGAGGGTGCCAGATCTCAGTACAGATGGTTGTGAGCCACCATGTGGTCACTGGGAATTGAACTCAGGACCTCTGGAAGAGCAGCCATTGCTCCTAACCTCTGAGCCATCTCTCCAGCCCTGATTCTTACTCTTTTAAGCCTTTGAACATTACTGTGATCTGCAAAGGCTTTACACACTGAATACATCAATGGGGTTTCTCTCTTTTGTATGTTATTTTATGCCTTTAGAGATCAGTGTGTTGTTCAAAGCCCTTACCACAATGATTACAAAGAGTTTCTATCTACGATGAGATCTTTTATGCCTTTTAAGATTATTGTGAGCTACAAATTTCATATCACACCGATTACATTCATAGGGTTTCTCTCCAGTATCTGTTCTTTTATGACTATGAAGTTGATCATGTGCTACAAAGGCCTTCTCACACTGAATAAATTCAGAGTTTCTATCTAGGGTGAGAATTTTTATGCCTTTGAAGATGACTGTTCGTTGCAAAGGCCTTACCACACTGATTACATTCATATGGTTTTTCTCCAGTGTGTGTTCTTTGATGACTTTGAAGATTACTGTGTTGTACAAAGGCCTTACCACACTGATTGCATTCATAGGGTTTCTCACCAGTATGTATTCTTTTATGCCTTTGAAGATGAATGTTTGTTGCAAAAGCCTTACCACACTGATTACATTCATAAGGTTTCTCTCCAGTATGTGTTCTTTTATGGCTTTTAAGATGATTGTATTGAGCAAAGGTCTTACCACACTGAGTACATTCATAAGGTTTCTCTCCAGTATGTGTTCTTTTATGGTTTTGAAGAGTACTCTGAGCTGCAAAGGCCTTACCACATTGATTACATTCAAATGGTTTCTCTCCAGTATGTGTTCTTTTATGCAATTGAAGATGATGATGACGTGCAAAGGCCTTACCACACTGAGTACATTCATAGGGCTTTTCACCAGTATGCATTCTTTGATGGTGTTGAAGAGTTCCCTGAAATGAAAAGGCCTTACCACATTGATTACATTCATATGGTTTCTCTCCAGTATGTATTCTTTGATGACTTTGAAGATTACTGTGTTGTGAAAAGGCCTTACCACAATGATTACATTCATATGGTTTCTCTCCTGTGTGTGTTCTCTTATGGGATTGAAGATGACTGTGAGCTGCAAAGGCCTTGTCACACTGATTACATTCATAAGGTTTCTCTCCAGTATGTGTTCTTCCATGGTATTGAAGAGCACTGTACCGTGCAAAGGCCTTACCACACTGATTGCATTCATAGGGTTTCTCTCCAGTATGCGTTCTTCCATGGTATTGAAAAGCACTGTACCATGCAAAGGCCTTACCACACTGAGTACATTCATAAGGTTTCTCTCTAGTATGTATTTTTTTATGCTTTTGAAGAGTACTGTGATCTGCAAAGGCCTTACCACACTGATTACATGCATAGGGTTTCTCTCCAGTATGTGTTCTTTCATTCCATTTAAGGTGACTGACATGTGTCAAGGGTTCACCTTGTTGAATATCTACTGAAAGTTTTTCTTCAGCTTGAATCCTTTCAATCCTGCAAGGATAATTGGCACATATAAAAGCTTTACCACATTCAATACAGTGTTGTGCCTAGACATTTGTATAAATTAATTTTATAATATAGTCCAACTATAAAGAGGAATCAGATACTATGTTTCTATAACTGTGTCTAAACTTATGTTTTGCCATCTAATTAGACACTTCTTTGCAACTTGGAAGATACCTCCAATGGTAAATTCCTTTCTTTCATGGCTTACCATTTTACCTTCCATGAAACTTTTTTCTATAGGATATTTTATACATGTGTGAAGAGAAATGGATAAACACAGAACTTTAACATTCATGAATTCTCCTATACTGTGAATCATATGGCATATACTATGTCAACTAGCACACCCAGAACTATTTGCACAGTTGTAGAAGTTGTACGGCTTTTTTGCAGTGTGAGTTTGTTCATGTATTAATGATGGTGGAAAAACAATTAATGGTATACTTGAATCAAATTCAACAAGTATACTCAACATGTGGCTACTAGTTATCTGATTGTTCTTAGAGAGTGGTATGCTACATCTCTCTATATCCCCATGCTCATACACTTGTATCAAGAATAATGTATGGTATACTTAGTAAAGAAGAATAACAAATAAGAGATTTCCACATTGAATTCTCAGGTTTTGAATTGCTGTTCCTCGCAGACTGGTGGTATTGATATCAGGGTTTCTGTAGTACAACTGCCACATGACTCAACTCTAACTGCTTCTATCACTAAACTTATCACAGTCACAAGAGGTATCTGAGTAATACAAGATTTACTATGGGCTGTTATTTTGTTTTACAAAGTTTTGCAGATATACTTATCATCTTCAATGTGTATACCTTTTGTATTATGAGTAGCAAAAAAGAAATTTAATTGCAGATCTACAACAAAGCTCTCATGGTGCTATGCCTCAAAAGGTGATATTTTTAGCCATTGCTTTCTTAAAAGAAGGTAATTCAAATGATATTCACATATATGACTTATGGATTTGTGAGAATTTGATAAGTGTCAGCGCACTTAAAGCTGTGCTTATTTACAGTGTAGCTTTAGACTAAAACTTTCAGGATGAAGAAAACTTTCATTAGAGGCACATTGTTATAAGCTTGCACAAGAAAATTACCTTTCATGTCTTCTAGAACATGGACAATGTTCTTCAGGGTTATGGTCTTCCCAACTGCATCCTAAAATATAATACCAGAAAATGTATGTTATGTTATTGAAAATTGTGCAATGTTTAAGCTGTTATCTTAAGTGACCCTTAGAACCATAACTGCTTTATCCAACTCATTCTTATTGTTTTTAAATAAATTACTGAAGAACATTATTAACCAAGAAAAAGTTGTCCATTTAGTTTGAAACATAAAGGAAATTCATTTTTACCTATAGTAGTGAGGTTCCTGTAGGTCTCAAGCATCACATCTTTGTAGAGATTCTTCTGGGAAGGATCCAGCAAATTCCACTCTTCTCGAGTGAAGTTGATATGCACATCATCATAGGTCACTGCCCTCTAAAATATTTCATTCATGTTTATAATGGAAAGCAGAAAGGTGACAACATTGTAAATCAATACATCTTTGATAGTATAGTCATAAAATTCTAGTGTTCCCCACTATTATTACATGACACAGATAATCACTTTAGAAGGAAATTGATTAGAAGTCACCACTGTCATTTCTTTACTGTTTGAATGGGATATCACCTTACAAAAGAACTTCCTATTCATAGAGAGAACCAAGGAAACAGATAAACAGGACATAGTACACTGAGAAAATTATATGAAGAAATACTAATTACAAAAAAGAAAAATACAGTGGGCAAAGTGGGTGTATTGACTCATGCCTTTAAGCACAGCACTCAGAAAGCATAGTTGTGTATATTTTGTCTCTGAGTTGAATGCCAGCCAAGTCTATGGAATCATTTTTAGGACAGGTGGAAATACACAGTAAGACCCTAACTCTATTGCAAAAATCAGGGAAACAAACAAATCAGATTGAAAGAATTCAGAGATATTTACTGAAGTTCCTACAATGAATTATGCATTCACTCCATATCTGTATTCATAATACAGACAGCTAAAGTTTCCTATTTTCAACTGCAATACCAAAAACATTTTATGAAAAGCTACTTCATGTTCAAAATAATTACAAGTTGACAGGTGAAAATATTAGCTATATAAATGTTGGGCATAACAAATTAACACAGATCTGGAAATATGGCTGAGTACTTCTGAGCTCTTCCTGGTCTTGAAAAGAGGTGGGCACAATTAACAGTACTTACATGGGGATCACAACTACTTATTATTCCAAGTTCAAAATTTCTGAGAAGCTTTGATCACTCCAATAACCGAGTACCCATATGGTTCATATCCTTGCAGACACATAAAATAGTCAAATTGAGTGAAACATTAACAGCAAGCACAACAAGCAGAAAGAAGTTCATGCACCTGCAATTCAGTGACTCAGAATGCACAGGCAGTATTAATGTCATGGATACATGGAATCCTGGGAATCAGAATGATACCCTCTGTCAAATTTAAAATTCAAGATATGTGTGAAGCTGAGCACAGCAGCGTATGCTTGTCATGTAAAAAGCCTACATTCCAGGGTCATCATCCAACAACATAAAAACAAATAAAGCCATGAATGAAGTCCCCCTCCCTTTAATTTCAGGAATTTGGAGCTACACAGCAAAGGTTACTCAGACAAGCAAACAAAACAATTAAAACTGCAGGCTACCAAACTCCTTAGCACTGAACAGCAACTATTTCTTCTATATTTTATGTGATTTACAGATCAAGCCTATTATGATAATCAAAACAGTTCAGTATGAGTGGGAAGCTGACTGATTAATTCCAACAACAACACAGTACACATAAAAGTCAGAAAATTAGTTGAGGATATTGAGACTCATCACATACAATGAGGCATTTCATCTAGAAAGGCCTTTCCTACTAAAGATTCATAGGAAATTGAAAGAAAGGCCACCAAGGAGAGAAACTTGTTCAAGTACATGATCTTTTCTGGGAGGTTGTTCATTCAATGAACTGCACAGACTGGACCAAGAGAATGACCCAGGAGAGCAGACCAAAAGAGCAGGCCAAGACAGAGGGCAAAGACAGACTTCTGAAGCGTTGCTCTCTGAAACACAGACTAGGCCAAGAACAGTTCTCAAAAACAAAATCAGCTACTTTATAGATTAGACCAAGAGGCAAAGACACTGCTTGCAGCCATTGAAGGATGAGATGGGTGGGTGCCAATGCCAGAATTCAGCCGACAACATAGAAAACCACATGGTGACACCAGAACCAGGAAGATTTGATCATCCTAACCCAGAAGAAGCCACAGTAAATGATTTTCAGTGTAACTTTGTGAGGATGATGAGGAAATGAAAATTCCCTTAAAGATATTTAGGAAAACACAAACAAAAATGGAAAACATCAATAAATCTCTCAAAGAAACCCAAGAAACAAAGAAAAAATAATCAAAGAGGTGAAGCAAAAAACTTAAAAGGCATAAAGACTGGGGCTGGGCAGTGGTGGTGTGCGTGCCTTCATTCCCAGCACTTGGGAGGCAGAGGGAGGTGGATCTCTGTGAGTTTGAGTCCAGCCTGGTCTACAAGGGCTAGTTCCAGGGCAGGCTCCAAAGCTACAGAGAAACCTTGTCAAAAAAAAAAAAAGACTTGAAGACTGAAATAGAGGCAAAAAAGAAAACACAAATGACGGTAATTCTGTATATGGAAAATCTAGGTAAACAAACAGGAACTACAGCAGGAAGTGTAACCAACAGAATACAAAAGATAGAAGAGAGAATCTCAGGTGATGATGATACTATAGAGGAAAGAGAATAATTGGTGAAAGAAAACAATAACTCCAACAAATACATTACACAAAACATCCTGGAAATCTAGGACATCATGAAAAAAAAATCCAAACCTAAGAATAATAGGGATAGAAGAAAGAGAAGAACACCAACTCAAAGGCACAGAAAATAAAGTCAACAAAAAAAATATCTTAGAAGAAAACTTTTCCAACCAAAAGAAGGGTATATCTATAAATGTACAAGAAGCTTAGGGAACACCAGAAAGACTGGACAAAAAAGTCCCCCTAACATATAATGATCAAAATGCAAAACATATAGAATGAAGCGAGAATATTAAGAGCTGCAAAGGACAATGGTTAATTACAATATAAAGGCAGACCTATCAGAGTAACACCCAAATTCTTCATGGAATCTATGAAAGGAAGAAGACCCTGGACAGATGTGCTGAAGACACTAAGAGACTAAGGACTCTACTATGACCAACAAAGCTTTCAAACACCATCAATGGAAAAAACAAGGTATTCCATGAAATCCAGTCATACAGAAAGTACTAGTGGGAAACCCAAGAAAGCTAACTGTAAACACAGGCAACAGATAACTTGACATCACAAACCCAAAGAAGATAAACACACAAACACTACTGCTGAAACATAACAGGAAGTAGCAATCACTGGTCATTTATATCTCTTACTATCAATAGATCCAATTCACTTACAAATTGTCACAAGCTTAGAGAATGGATCCTAAAGCAGGATTCATCCTTTTGCTTTATAGAAGAAATAACCTAAACCTCAAAGACAACATTACTTCAAGGCAGAACCTCGAGGGTTGTGTCCACCCACAGAGACTGTGGAACTGATCTAGTGGATGCTCACCAAGGCCAGCGGGACTGGGTCTGAATGAGCATGTGATTAAACCGGACTCTCTGAAGGTGGCTGACAATGAGGGCAGACTGAGAAGCCAATGATAATGACACTGGATTTTGATTCTACTGCATGTACTGGCTTTTTGGGAACCTAGTCTGTTTGGATGCACATCTTCCAAGGATGGAGGGGGTGCTTGGACTTCCCACAGGGCAGGGCACCCTGACTTCTTTTAGAACTGGAGAGTGAGGGGGAGGGGGAGGAGGGGAGTGGGAGGGAAATGGGAGGATAGGAGGAGGTAGAAATTTTAAATAAATAAATAAAATAAAATAGACTGCAAAGTAAAATCAATCAGATTAGATGAAGGACACTTCATACTTGAAGGCGTAAGTCACAAACAATGCCACACCAATTCGGGGTTATGATTATTAGGGTGGTATTTATTTAAAGGGGAGAAACCACGCCCCAATGGGCTGGTACCTCAGCGGTGATAGGCTGGAGGAGTGGGAGGACCTCCCGCAACACATACTCATAAAAGGAACAATTCATTAGGATGAAGTCTCAATCCTGAACAGCTATGCCACAAATATAATTATGAACACCCACATATGTAAAAGAAACACTACTAAAGCTTAAAATGCACATCAAATCCCATATATTACTAGTCGGAGACTTCAACAATCTACTCTTCCCCAAAGGACAGGTCAATTAGACAGAAACTTAACAGAGAAATAAGACAACTAACAGATGTCTTGACTTAAATGGACTCAACAGACATCTACAGAATATTCCATCCAAAAACAAAAGAATATACCTTCTTCTCAGCACCTCGGGGTATCTTCTCTAAAATGGACTACAAACATGGTAACAAGGCAATCCATGACACACACACACATACTCACACACAAATTGAAATAACCCCCTATGTTTTATCAGATCACTATGCTTTAAAGTTAGAATTTAACAACAACAATAATCACAAAAAGCCTAAAAACTCATGGAGAATGAAGAGTGCTCTATCAAACTACCCCTGGGTCAAGGAAGAAATAGACATACTACCGAAAAAGTTGTTCTATACAAAATTTGAAAGTTTAAACACATCTAAACAGGTTTAGTCAGCAAAATTAAATCAACCTAATGAGGGCAGACAACTTATCCAATTGTTTTTGGCCAACTTTGATGAGACCTGATTTTGAAATTCAAGAGGCTAATTAAAAACTGAAGGTTTTAACTAACACAGTAAGGCTATATACAATAAATATATATGTAATATATACTGGGAAGAATTATATTGGCAATGTTCAATCCCTCTGCATTTGGTAAATTTAGAGAAAATATTTTATCATCTATCCAATCTCAGTAAGCCCAAGGTGTTGTTTGTAAATTTCTTTTTATCCTAACTTGTATTACCAACCTTAAATAATGTTCCTATGTCTCTTCACATTATATACTTTACATATTTTTTGCATTCAATTTTCAATTTGGTAACATGCATAATTACAATTATTGAGTCTTTAGCTCCATCAGAGAACCCAGAAGGAGAAAATAATACTACCTGAGTAAACAGGAATTATAAAGCAAACAACATTTAAAATAAAGAAACAACACCACCTGTATATTTAAAATAATTTTTTGCCAGGCTGTGGTGGTGCAGGCCTTTAACCCAGCACTTTCATAGCAGAGGCAGGCATATCTCATTGACTTTGAGGCCAGAATGATCTACAAAATGAGTTCCAGGAAAGCCAGAGCAACACAGAGGAATCTGTCATGGAAAAAAAAGGAAAAATGTCCTTTTGATTTCTCTTGAAAACATACCT